TACCCCTCCTTCAGCAGCTTCTGAATCGTGCGCATTTCTGCGATGCCTGTGCGGCGAGTGGGCAAGGCAGGAGCAGCAGTTGGCGCCGTTTGTACGGCGGCAGCGGTGCCGCCGCCCAAGTAATAATATTCCCCGCAAAGCGCGCCCAGGCAGCAGAGCGTGCTCAAAGCGAGGAGCAAGTTGAAGTACTCCCACCCAGTGCCTAATGCTGCCGGTGGCAATCGACCTAATGTACCCGGCAGCCTTACCAGATAGAATACCACCGGCAGCAGCAGTAGCAGCGCGAACAGGTCGCTAGTGCTCTGCTGAGCAAGAGCGGGGCGCAGGCACACGGCTGTGAGGGCGAGAGAGGGCAGGACGCCTTGGAGCCGCGAACGCATGAAAAAAGTCATGCCACGATTGATAAGTTTCTTGCTAAGCAGATGGACGGCGATGGCAAAGGTCGCGTTGAAGCAGGAGAGCTTGGTGAGATTGCCATGCAAACGTGCGAAATGGCTGCACGCCACGATGCCGAACGCGCTGAGCAGAGCGAATAGTGCGCAGAGCCATGGTACATAGTCGTACGGCCGCGCGACCGCCCCCAGGGGGGCCCACCCGGCTTTGAAATCTTCCAGCCACCATAGCAGCACTTGTGCCTTGAGCACGAGAGGGAGCGTGCCCGCCATTGGGAGGCCTTGCGGTGTGCCGCCGCCCAAGTGATAACATTCCCCGCAAAGCGCGCCCAGGCAGCAGAGCGTGCTCAAAGCGATGATCAGGTTGAAGTACTCCCACCCAGTGCCAATTGCTGCCGGTGGCAAATCAGCTAATGCTGCCGGCAGAAATACCAGCTCGAATGCCATCGGCGGCCACAGTAGCAGCGCGAACTTGTCGCTGTTGCTCTGCTGAGCAAGAGCGGGGCGCAGGCGCACGGCTGTGAGGGCGAGAGCGGGCAGGGCGAAAAGTAGGAGCACCACAATGTCAAAGTAAATCCCAGGGGCGGCGTCACTCAGCTTACAACGTGGGGCCAAAGGGGCGGCGAAGCCGAAGAACGCAAGGAGGAAAGAAAGCTCGGTCGATCACGTTGCTCGCTCGATGCCGGCGAGCGCATGGCGCACGCCTTGGACGGTGGCGAAGCCAAAAACACCGGCAGTGGCCGTCCGCTGGCGTGAGCGGCGGCGGTCGAGACCTCACCCTTCGCGCCGACGACCCAACCTCACGCGGAACAACCCAACCCAACCACAACCCAACCCAACACGAAACAACCCAACTCAAAGCACGATTCTCAAGTTGGGCCCTCTGCCTCTCCTCGTGCGCCGGCTGCCTCTCCATCCAACCGCTTCTGCGTCCTTCTGCCCGGTGCTCGCGATGTCGCTCTGCCGAGAGGGTCATCGCCGGCGTAGGCGGAGCGGCGGGCCCTTCATTACAGAGACAACAAAGACATTTCACCCCTCGGGCTGTTGTTGCAGACAGAGCGTGCCGGACGGGGCGTCGTCGCGCCGTCCGATGGTCTGCTGCCCCGCGCAGCAACCGTCGGGCGACGACCCGGGGGCCAAAAACCCGGCGAGCGACGACGGCGCTCTGGATGGGGCGTGACCTCCTGCCTCCAACCTCCTTCCTTTTTGAGCAGGTGTGACGCCGCGCGAGCGACGCTCCGAGATCGCCCGAGATAGCGCGGCGCGGCCCCGAGATCGCCCGAGATAGCGCGAGATCGCCCGAGATAGCGCGGCGCGGCCCCGAGATCGCCCGAGATAGCGCGAGATCGCCCGAGATCGCGCGGCGCGGCCCGGGGCGGGGTGGATGGGTTGGGAGCGAGGGGGCGGAAGTGATCAGTGCGGTAGAGGGTCAGCTCGAGGCGCGTGAGCCGGACTTGTGAGCCGGACCACCCCCTCTTGTTCTCTGCGTTGTTGAGCCAGGACTCAACATACTCGGGCTGTTGCCATCCCAAACTGTCACTCCCCTTTCTCCCGGCCGGGGTGGGGCGCGCGCGGGGGCGGCGGGTGTGAGGGATGTCTGTGAGCCCGAGAGCGATATGCCATGTCCGCCTTGCGTGTTTTCATAACATCGAAGGCTAAGCTCAAAACAAATTTGGCGCGCGTGCGCGCAAGGTCTGCTAGTGGAGTGTGTATAAATGCTGCTCGGCAACGCGTACGACGACAGCGAGGACGAGGAGACGGCTCCCCAAGCCGTCCCGCTGGCGCTGCAGCCGGCGAGTCGCGAGGATGTTGAGCAGTCCGCCGAGAGCGAAGACGAGGCGAGCGAAGGAGAGGAGGCGAGCGGTGTGGTGCCCGTGGCCCTGAGCGCGGCGGCGGACGCGGCGGATGACGAGGACGAGGAGGAGGAGGAAGCCGCACGGCAGGCGGCGGCGGAGGCAGCGGCCAGAGCTGCGGCGGCGGAGGCGGCCAGAGTGGCGGAGCTGCCACCGCCCGACTTCACGGGGTGGGTGCCTGCTGGCGGCGGCGCGCCCTCGGCGCGCACGGCGCCTCTGGTGGGTGGGCGCTCGAAGAAACGGAAAGGGCCGGGCGGCGGCGCGAGCCAGATCAGCAGCGGCTTCAAGGCGGCGGGGCGCGGCACGCCGATTCATTGCCACAAGCTGCCTCCAGTGACGGTGAGTGACGGATGTAGGCGGCAGTGACGCGGCACGACGCGCTGGAGGCGCAGAAAGAGGCGAAGGGCGGCGGCGCGCGCTCGAGGGAGTGAGTACGGGGTCGTGAGTGAGAGGCCTTTCCTCGATGGGAGCAGGCACGGTCGGTAGATGCAGAGGCGAAGACCAGTCACAACGGGCGCCTGGCGCGGCTTGCGTGGGCGCCGACAGGGGGCTCACTGGGTCCCGGACTCTCGGACAATCTCGGACAATCTCGGACAATCTCGGACAATCTCGGACAATCTCGGGTCATATGGGGCGCCCACCCGGCACGCTGTCGCCGGCCGTGGCACTGACACTCTGAACACCGCCATTAGTGAGCGTATCGCCACCGGAGGCCCTTGAATTAAAGAGTAAGAATGAGTCACACGGCGCTGCAGGCGGAGCTGGAGCTCGAGCTGGAGGAGCGGAAGAAGAATAACGGCCTCTCCGCCGCCTACGACTCCGTCTTCCGCTCCGGACCGAGATCACGCCGAGATCACGCCGAGATCACGCCGAGATCACGCGAGGTCACACGAGATCACCCGAGATCACCCGAGATCACGCCGAGATCACCCGAGGTCACGCGAGGTCACACGAGATCACCCGAGATCACCCGAGATCACGCCGAGATCACCCGAGGTCACCCCGAGATCACGCGAGGTCACACGAGATCACCCGAGATCACATCTTCCACGGCGGCGGGCAGCGTGACCCCTCACGCGCCGGCACGTGAATCCCCCCATCCCCAAGGCCTCCAGGGCTCGCACCTCAAAATTCTCACAGACCAGCGCACAGCGCCATGGCACGTCTTTCCCTCTCAGTGACAAGGTCCGTGAACAGGGGACGATCCCGACGACACGCGGCGGACCAAGCTGACCAAGCGCGCGAGCCTAGACGCGGAATATGTAGTCATGTACCCCAACCAGCGCTCGAGAGGGCCACGCATTCAGCTGTATGCAGCTGTATTCCGCTGTATTCCGATTCGTTGTCTTCACGCGGTGCTCTGAAGACACGGCACAGTACTTCATGTCGGCGTACTCACACGCGTAGGCGCGGGACGGTGCGCACGATGAGCAAGCGCGAGGTGGGCGGCGTAGCGGAGAGGCGGGCCGAGAGGCGGCGGTGGGGGAGAGGCAGCCGAGAGATAGCCGAGAGGCAGCCGAGAGGCAGCCGAGGGGCAGCCGAGAGGCAGCCGAGAGGCAGCCGAGAGGCAGCCGAGAGGCAGCCGAGAGGCAGCCGAGAGGCAGCCGAGAGGCAGCCGAGAGGCAGCCGAGAGGCAGCCGAGAGGTAGCCGAGAGGCAGCCGAGAGGCAGCCGAGAGAACAGCCGAGAGATCTAGCCGAGAGGCGGTGGCCAGGGAGGACGGTGGAGGACGGGGCGGCGCGGGCGTCTCTTCACACCGTCTCTTCACACCGTCTCTTCACACCCTCACTTCAGACCGCCTCTTCACGCCGTCTCTTCACGCCGCAGGCGGCAGAGGAGGACCGGCTGATGGCGACGCTGAGGTGACAGTACGGTGGCGATGGACGATGCAGCACGCTCGCCCAGAAACAAATAAATGAATGGTCAAACTCTGAGACGAGATGGAATTCTAAGGGACATGTCTGATGTGCCCTGCAGCATTCGCTCGCCCATGCGACCAACAACAAACTATACCTTCGCTTGGTTCCGGCTTCCGCAGCGGTCTGACAGCTCGTGCGTGGCAGTGTGGCAGGGAGCTGCGTGCGGGTGCACCACGCTTGTGGCCAAAGTCGAGCGCGTCGACAGAGAGAGCGCAGCACGCGCGACAGAGATCAGTCTGATCAGAGTCTGCCGCTGACTGGCTGGGTTTAAATAAATTTTGATCGTTCGGCGAGGTGCGGCACGGTGCACGGTGACCGCGCGCTCGTGTCTGTCGGCGTCGTTAGTTATCTCGACACAGAACGCATGTGTGTAGAGGTAAGGTGATGTGTGTGTCACGTATATACATGAGTTGTGACACACATCATGTGTGTCACAACTCAACTCTCTCTCTCAGAGTTGGTCTCTCGCAATCACGAGGTCGTTCAAAAAGCACGGCTTGTTGTGAACAAATAGAAATACAACGCATGGGGACAACTCTATAAAGTATAATAGTGGTGCGAGCCACACGGCCACATGTGCATGCACACGCGCTCTAGACGCACATACGTGTACGAGGCATACGGGTACGGCTCTGCCACATTGTCCTCATGCCTCGTGTAAATAAAGTAGACCGTCTACGACCGCGCCAGCTCTGCGCTTCTGCTCCCGAATCGGGGCATCGCGCACAGGGGCACGCCGATGCGAGAGTGCCGAGTCTGTTCAGACCTTTGCACTGGCGTGGTGGTGCAGCGGTAGCAGGCCGGTTGACCGGTGGCGGTGGCGGATGCGAAACACAATCACAGCTTGCAGCCGAGCACGCGATGCACCTCCATGACGAACCGGTCGACGGGGTGCATCGTCAGCTCGGCAGGAATGACGGACTGCCTACGTACATCCTCCGCAGGCGCAGGGTACAAAGCGCCTCCAAACCCGAGTGGCTGGCTCAACGCGCTGCGCTCGGTCGCCGAAGTCTCCTCGAGCGCTGCTGCGGCGGCGGGCGTTGCCGCGATCGGCTGCTGCGGCTGCTGCGGCTGCGGTTGCGCCTCCACCGCGGCGGCGGAGGGCGGCAGACCCTTCCACAAGCTGATTCCGAGGAGGACCAGGGCGATCGTCCACGATGTCACGAGGCTGAAGAACATCACAATCACGCTAAACACGGCATACACGTTGGCCTTGAGACACATTACGACCCTTGCTGTCGCGGATGTTGCACTCAGTATGGCGAGAGTGGTGACAACTGCCGAGGAGGGAGACTTGGGGCGCATCGCCTTCCCGCCGGCGGGTATTTCGATGGATTCGAACTCTGTGGACCTGGGGTAGAATTTCGCGGGTGCCAAATGAATTTCGGGGCACGGGTACGTCGACCGAGGCGAGGCGGCGGCGCGGCGTGGCGGCGGGCGACGCAGTGGGGGGCGGGGGGGGTCTTCTCCCCACCGGTCCTCATTTGTGGTAAAGGCAGTCTCCTCGGCTCCTCGCACCTCGGCCAAGAGTAAGGCGGAGCATTTATCTTAGATTCTCGTTCTGTTGCCATCCCAAACTGTCGCTCCCCTGCCTCCCGCTGTGATTCTGTGTGAGCTCTGTGTCTTGATTTTTTTAGAGAGATTTTTAGAAGCGGGTCCGCAAGGCCTTGGAGCCGCTTCCAGGCATTCTCGCCCTTCGCGACTCCAAGAAGGTCCGGACGGCGCAGCAGCTCTCACAGGTGCTGATCCGTTTCTGCATGAATACCACGCTCACCTTCTTCCTCCGCACAATGCCTCCCAGCGTCACCCTGGCGGCGGCAAAGGAGCACGACAGGCTGATTGCAGACAGCCTGTACGAGCTTGTCGGCGGCGCGCGAGTCGGGCGCGATGATGTCCGGTGGGTGCGGGCGCTCAAGCAGGCGCGTCTGCCAGTCAATATGGGCGGCATGGGCTTGACTAGCGCCGAGGACATTCGCGGCGCGGCGTGGGTTGGTACGTGGGCTCTCGTCACGCGGCCGATCCGCGAGCTACACAGGCCCTTCGCCGATCTCGACGTCTCGACCGCGCCCGGAGAGTGTTTCGACGAGCTGCGAGAGGCGCACACGCAGCTCGTCAGCAGACACGACCTCACCGACAAGTGCCAGCGGAGCTGGCGGACGCAGGTCGTGTGCCGGGAGGTGGTGAGCCCGGGCACTGCGATCAACGAGGCGAAGGCGGAGCCGAGGTTCCGCTTCTACCCGCACGGGCTGACGCCGGCCGCGGAGCTGCTTCCCCTGGCCCAGTTCTCGTCCACCAACGAGTTCTTGCACCAGGCGCAGCGACGGTACACCTCTGGCGTGCACCATGCTAACTGGCTCGACCTTGCCAAGGAGCTTACCGACGAGGCGCTTCGCAGCGGCGGCCGCAAGGCGCCCTCCAAAGGCAACAAGGTCGGAAGACGCGAGAACCACAAATGCTGGCGAGAGGCGATCCGTTTTGTCGCTGTCAGCCAACCAGGGGCCGGCGCCTTCCTTAACGCCATCCCCATGCGTGATGATATGAAGATGGAGTCCTGGGCGATGCGCGTCACCGTCCAGCGCCGCCTTGGGCTCCCCCTTGATGTCGCCTGCCAGGCGGTGGAGGCAGGCAAGAGGGCACCCAGCGGCCAGCTACACGACGTCCTTGGCGACGCCGCGATGGTTAACCCTCGGTCAAAGCATGCTACAAGACACAAATTTCTACTCAAACGTTTGGTCAAATGCCTCCGCTCGGCGTGGGGCATGATCATCGAGATGGAGCCGACTGCACACCTCAGTTACAGTAATCCAAAACAACCTGACGTGGCGGCGGCAAACATCGGCAGGGGGCACAGGCGCCTTGTTGCCGATCTGAAGCTTACGAGTTCGCTCGCGAGCAACAGCAAGGGCAAGGATGGAGAGGGTGAAATTCGGCTCGGCTGGAAGGGGGCCTATGTGCGCTTTGGCAACAGGGAGACCGGGCTGCTCAAGTTGGTCAAAGGGCGCGGCAAGTGGTCTTCGTCGGAAGCGACGACAACAGCGGTGGCTGAGGAGTAGGAGTAGGCCGTGGAGGAGGAGGGGGTGGAGGGGGAGGAGGAGGATGCCCCCAAGGGAAAGCTCAAGGAGCAGCCTGGCGATTACCCCTTTGCGCGGCAGCAGGATTGCGATCTACGTTTGTTTGATTTTGAGGCTTTCGGAGGCTTTGGAAAGGAGGTTCGCAGCACCCTGAGGGAGGCGGCGAACCAGCTGAGCAACAAACTTTCACACGCTCAGCACCTGGACGAGGTCACATGGACCACCAAGAACTGGCACGGGCTGCAGATGCAGCGCTTGTCTGTCGTCCTCCACACCGCCGTGGCGTGGCAGACGGTGAACGAGCTAGCGTGCGGGGAGAGCGGCATTGTGCATGGTGCGGAGTGCATTGCCGTTCTTAACGGAGTCGCTTAGGCGGCTCCGGTGGTGAGCCTGTGTGTGTGCCAGTCCGCGCCAGTCTGCGCCCTTGTCGTGCCAGTGTGCTGTGAGAGAGGCTTGTATCTTAAGAATTGTTTTCTCTGCCCAGGATTGCGGCACCCACAGCAAGCTGAAGTACCTCGCCAGGCCGGCACCTCGCAAGCAGCGAAACGCGCAAGGTGCGAAACGTTCATCCAAACAAGCGAGGATGCACATGTTCGCAATGCTGGCCAGTATTGGCTCGCCTCCTGCGTGTGCGCCCGAGGCCGGTCAGTTTGTGGCGCCCACCGCACCGGAGTCTGGCACGCCTTGGATGAAGCTTCTAGCGGATCACGTGCTCTACTGGCGTGCCAGAAAGGCGTGGAGCCGTCAGTATTACAACGACGTGTTCCAGTTCATAGCGAAGCGAGCTCCCGACCTCCAGCAGCCGCTGCGGATTGTCGAGGTTGGCACAGCGTTCGGCGTGTCAGCTCTGCCCGCCCGCCTAGCGCTAGGTGAGCACGAGTCACCTCGACGAAAAACTTCGTAACTCCTTGGCGACGAGCCGCGGGCTTTTGCCACTGCGTGCCAGCCTCAGACAGCCGGGCCGCCCGAGAGTTTTACTGACGAGTTTCTCTCGCGGGGGCGGCCCGGCACAACCAACCCTGTGCCCAGCACAAAAAAAATTCTGGCGCAGCGGCCGGCGTGAGCCGCGCCAGCTGTCGACCAGCTGTCGACCAGATTCGATCGATTTGATGGATCCCTTGAAAGCATAAAGCCCATGCAGGCTGCTACGATCCCGCGGTCTTATTTTGGATTTCTTTATTTCATATCGGCAAACTCGGGAAAGTAAGCGCCTTCGCGTGCCCCCCCCCCCCCCCCCCCCCACACACGCGGGCCCGCCGCCAGGCGACGCGGGCGGCGAGCCGATCGTTGAAAAAAAAAAAAGACCCGCGTTTTCAATGGTCGGCCCGCGTCCCACATTCCCTGCGCCATCGAGCGGCGTCGCGGCCTGGAGCTCGCCGCTTACCGACTCGCTCCCTTGCACGCCACCGAGCAAGTGCAAGGAGCGCCTCCTCACGGCTGCGGCCGCCGCCGCGCTGCCCGCAGCGGCCACAGCTGCCGCCGCCGCGACTGCCACCACCACCGGTTCGCGCAGCCTCCCTGTCGCCCGAGCCGT